CAACACAGAAGCACTACAGCTTGAACACCAGTGTACCAAGAAGTAAACATACAACACAGATTAAATATGTTAAGACCCAAATGCCAGCTTAATGGTTACATGGAGCACCAGTCTTGAATCAGTACTGCTCTTTAGATAGAAGTATTGCACACTTGAGATTAGATACAGTAAATAGTGCTAAAACGGGTATCACATGGATACATTTTTAATATATGAATGTTAGAACTAAAAGCAAAGGTCCCTCAGCAGATGCTCCTTAGCTGAAAAAAATATATAAAATCAATCGTGAATAACACAAAGGAATCACATCATTTTCTTTTGATAATTTGATTGCAAAAACCATTTCAAGAATAACTTTCCTCATTCACAATTAGGCACTTGATTCCTCACTTTTAGTTATGCTAGCTGAGTTGTTTGTGAGGTCTCTTGATAATTTGTAAATAAACTTAAGTATGTGTCCTGGAAATACAGGATTCATTTTGGATTTTTCAGTTAGCTATTTGAGGGTACAATTTATGAATAATCAGTTAGGACAAGTAAGTAGAACAAACTGCAAGTGAGAGAGAAACTGAGGCAGAGACACAAAAAAGGAAGATTGCAGGAGCTCTTAAAACTACTGGGGGTTGAAAAGTTTCTACCGTGGGATCACGTTTTTCTATGGGATACCTATTTCCTTCATGAAGAAAACTACCGTTTTTGACAATATCCTTGAACTCATGTCACCCTTTGTGACACAGCCCAAGGAATTCTTAGCTTAGCTTCTCTGACCAAAATGCATCTGAACTATTTCTTGTTATAAGTTTCAACATGAAAGACGTGGAAGCATTTCTGTTCTACTGTTTGTAACTTAAAGCCTTAGACATATTGAACTTTTGAATCATAAAGCGGGTAGTTCTTGCATTTTAACTTTTCCCTCTGTTGACATCTTTGAAGATTTGTTCATCTATAGCCCCCTTAGAATTGCTGTGTCTCAGAGTTCACCTCAAACAAGTTATGGTTATGTTAGAGGATTAATGCCATGATTACATTCAATAAATTTTTACTACTGAAACAAATGAAAACATTCTTTAGAAACTTAAAAATACATGAATAAAATCCATTAAGTGCACACCACTACTTCAAAAGAAAACTTTATAAAGGAAAGTGTAAGACTGGAGACTAAGTCTTATATTCCTTTCTCAGACCAAACTCACATCAGTTGAGTGCAAAGAAATTCTCAAGTCTACCAGGAAACCGTAATATTTCATAAAGAAAGAACTGTAAGCATTTCAGGTACATCATCTTATAGTTTTACAGAATTAGAGCATCATTTAATTCAAAAGATTAACTTTAAATTAACTCATTAAGGTACTTAAAACTTACTTGGACTTTAGAAAATAAACAAAACTTTTTAAAATAAGCAGTCTGCTCTGAAAGTAATGCCTGACTAATTATGTTGGCCCAAGATGTCAGAGGAAGATGATGGTGGTATGGAAGTAGACAATCTCACCAATATTCCATTAAATTTTGTTGCCATGTGACATATGGTGACAGATGGGCAGTCTGACAGAATTGACTCAGAAGGGCAGATGAAGCAAAGGTGTGTCACTGAATTCTTCCATGTGGACAAAATGGCAGCCATTAACATTCATTGGCACTCGCTGCATATTTATGGAGACAAAACTGTAAATGTGAGCTCAGTGAGGTGGTGAGTGATACATTTAAACACTGTTGACCTTACATATATGAAGATATGGAAAAAAAAACAATAAACAAAAAACCCTGGTGAGTTAGGAACAAGAAGCAAATCAACATCCCTTCTTTTCAGTTCCTTGTTGCTGTGTTTGATCGCATTGCTGGAGCCTGAAATGTGTTTATACTGTCTACTAGCAGATAGCATAAAGGAAGCCCTCTTCCCTTTATTCACAGCTGGTGAGGAAAAAAAATGAAAACATATGGTTAAAACCATGCTGCCAGCAACAAATGCAGTCTATTAACTCCGTGTAACCCTAAGATAATGGTGTATAGAAATAAATTATTAAAGTGTATGTGAAAAAGTTGGAGAGGACTGTAGAGAGACTTTGGGAAGAAGAACTGGTATGAAGAGAAGGGCAATTTTAAGTGCAGTAGCAGATGCATAAAAAAGGGAAATGACAATGAAAGCAACCATATTTTCAACCTGTGGTGCTTAATTTCCTTACAGGTTATGCATTGAGTTTTTACTGAGAGAACTTAACAGAGCCTCAGCTTCAAAATGAATTTGTGTGATAGAGAAACATTAACCCATATAATTATAAAAAATATGACAGAAGACTACCTATCCCAGTTGAAAAACATGCCTGCTCTTGATAGCTTTCCTTGTACTGGCCTTACTTTTTATGCCACATCCAAACCATTTTTTGGCATTGTTGTTCTGACTTAGGTTTCTGAATAAGATACTGAGGAGATAGAAAATGCTGTTTAGCCTCCACCTGGCTATTTTGCTGCTCTCTAAAGCTCCTCCTCTGCCAACTACATTTTAGTCTACTCTTGAGTTTTTCAGACTGTGACCTTAAAAAATAAGAGCCCATTAGAGAGCAGAAATATTGTAGGTTGGTATGATTTTCACAAGAAAAATAGTAGTATGGGTGAAGCTAAGCCTTATTTACTATGTACTTTTCCACAAGACCTCAGCCTGTATCACATACCACTGCCCACCTCTTCCTCTTGAAACTTGTTATGCTACCAAATGCCAAGAAACATTGGATTTTAAAAAGTTTGTGCATTTAAAAAATGTATTCATAAAAGCACAGCTCTTTTTGCTTTCACATTACAGTTTCATTGTTTTGGAGACATCTTCAGTGTCATTGCAATTGGGAGCATTCTTTTGCAATTCTATTAAAATAGGATGTTTGATTAATATCTCCTTATTGAAATCAATACCAGCTGGATTTTATTTCCCAGTAATAATGCATAAAGGCTGTATGTGTTCAGCATATGAACAGCAGAACATAGAGGTTCTGTTGCCTGTTTATTTTTCTCATATGGCAAGAAAAAAGCACTGTAAAAACAATAATAGGGGGAAAAGGAACGTAAGTAAGAGTGGCTTTAATGATTCAGGTTTGAAGAAAGTTGATATGAATAGCCATCAGAAAAAGTGCTTAGATTTGTGTATTCATTTCCAAAAGAAACTTTAAAGATTTAACTGAAGTATAGCAAAAGAGACACAAACTGCACAGAATTGCAAGTTTAAACAGCTGTTTCCAGAAAGAACAGATTTACTTTGCTACAAAAATATTTTGTTAGAGAAAGGAAAAATTCCAGAGTAAAAACAATCACAGTTGCAAGTCAGCAGTTTAAATTAGAGGTACTTTGGAGCCCTTGGTTAGGAATACTTCATAAAAAATTCTACAAAGAACCAAGTAGTTCGTATTGATCCTTGGGAATGAAAAAGGCCTTTTTAAGCTAGCTTGTTGTATGAAACAAACACAGTTTCCGGACAGCAGTGTTGTAGGAAGATCTGACACGATCAGAATTGGGACCATTCTGACAAAAATCAAAATCATAGGCTTCTGTTAGAAACATGGTTCTCAAAAAAGGTATTCTATCCTTAAGGCAGAGTGTACATGTTGAAAAGTAGTAATCACTAAATTTTATTTAACTAGATTTTTTTCCTCTGTGACTTGGCTTGCATTCAAATAATAATCAGCAAATGTTCTGTGAAAGGCTATTCCTGTTCAGAGAAGAAAAGGCAAAGTGGCAGACTCTTCCTCCTTTTAAATTCATACCACGTAGCCATTCACAAGAAAGGACAAAGCAATAGAGATGTGAAGAAGAAAATAATCATACTTGGATATATTTAAAAATAATCTGCAGAGTTTTAAAGTTGATAGACTATATTACAGTGGATTTAAAATTAAGTTTACTGGATATTATGCTTATAAAGAATTGACATTGCTTCTAAAAGGTTCTTGGCAATACCAAGCAAAGTATTTGCAGGTAAGTCAATAGTCATACAAAGAAAGGAGAATGAACCTCACCCAGTTGGAGAAGGGGCTTCGCTGGCTACACAGCACCTCCTCACAAGAAGCAGCCCAGGTCCAAGAGATGCTTTCCCTTCAGTGGCTGGCCCTCATGTGAGCTCAAAGTGCATCCATCCTGGCTCTACCCATTCTGATAAGGTGGGGAGCATAGGTGCAAACAATCTGCCCGTGCTTCCTGGGCCAGACACAGTCCTTTATCAAGTGCCCAATCACCAGTTCAAACCCTGACCTAACAGTTCTCCTGTACTGGGTAAAACACTAATTAATTCCAAGAGCTAGGAAAGGTAGCTGCTGATTGAAACTATACATGGGACAATGACCTTTAAGACCAAATCTGACTTAAGACCACAATAAATACAGTGAAATGACTAGTAATATTCTATCACATTATCTTAGTATTCCTTACTAAGTGGGGCATGAATTATATAGCAGAATATGTATTCCCATTATAATGAAGTTTGTCCTGAACAGGCTTTAAATAATGAGACTCATTCAGCTCCGTGTTCAGACGTCTCTTCATTTGCACTGAATCCGAGAAGCTGTGTATATAATATATACACACACACTTACACAAAAACCAACCAAAAAACTAAAACAAAAGAACATAGCTCTTTCTAGATGTGCATGCAGTCTGAAGACACACCTCCCCTTCCCAGTACTATGCCAAGTAAAGAACATATATCACGTTATTAAAATAAACTACTCAGCAGATTAAACTTGAATACCTAAGCAAATCATTGAAAGTTCTTCTGGTGGAATATTTGCATAGAGATCCAGCCATTTTCTGTTCAAGTTCTGCTCAATTCCTTCCAGTTAAGGAGAAATACATTAAGAAATTCACGTACTATTTTCACACCTCAGCTGATTTTTCAGTAGTATTAAATATATATTAATAAATAGCATTATTTATACCAAATATATACATACCAATTGGTAGTTATCATAGCATATAATTATACAGTATAATTAAATATAAGCATAAAATATTTTGTGATTACATTTGACTGTCCTGAAAATCCAAACAGATACACTAAGTCACATTCTTGCTATGTTTCAAAATGGAAACCAGGTAAAAACTTCGCTTAAAGGAAACGCTGGGGGAAAATTGCCTGCAGAAAAAGGTCTCTCTTCTCTAACTTAGCAACAGGAGAAAGTCAGTATATTTAACAACATTAGTATCTACTATTTCTTAGCCTCAGAGCACAGAACATCTTAAAATATTTCAGAAAGTTCCAAAGCACTGGTGAGGTCATGGCCCTTGCTTTTCATTACAGGACTGCAGAACAAACTGAGAATGCCTGGAAAGCCAACTGCACTGCATATAAACTCTAATTTGAATAACACTTCCACTGCAAAACTGATAAAAGCCACACATTTACCTTAAGCAGAAATGTGCTGTAAATTTGCATACAAATTGCATACACTATTTTGCATTTCTTGAAGTAGGTCTTACCATTTTTTTCCATATATTCCATGCAAATAGAAAGCTGTAAATGCTATGTTAATTTCAAATCATTGTTATACAGCCTACAATATGTGTCTTAATACTGCATCTCAAGTGATTCACCTCCTTGTGTCCTGTTCAACAGATTTTCTACAAGTTGCAGTACACTCAAAACTTTAAGAGATTAAAAAATAGGGAGACAGTTTACACATTCAGAGATATCCTGTTAAGTTGTTGAATATATTTTTGAAAAGCAGAATTGCAGGCCAGTTTTTCAATATGAAGTTTCATGTTAGTCTTACTGTGTAAGCACTCAGCTAGTGTGATCACTTCTATTTCACAGATCAATGATTGTCTATCAAGCAGGCAAACACCAAAATTCCAAGTACTATTGCAAACACTTTCAAGATGTGCACAGGAATTGTTGTCTATGATTAAAATGCTGATCCCTCACTTGAGCTCCTTTTCAAGCGCTTTTAACTTATTTTCATACCATCAGTAGTTTAGCTGGCTTTTTCTCCTTTAAGAAAAGTGCTCAGATAAATTAAGCATATTCAAGTGCAGGTGAATTCTCTGCAAACAGTTCAGAAGGATGATGGGATGCTACAAGAGATCAGAAGATAACCAAATTGGATTATCTGCTCAGTGAACCAGATTGCAGATATTCTTCAGAGGCTTTCCTACCTTTTTTTAGTGAGCCTTCATAAGGGGCGGTTCATATTACATATCATATTGAACAACTGAAAATCTGAAGAGCAACAGTTCCTCTGAATCATTCCTTGTTTTCTGTCTAGGCAGGAGAACTGAAGAAAGCAGTTTACATCGAGTCAAAGTGAAAGTCCTTTATACAAAATGGCTGTTATTAATCTGATTAATACAAGGAAAAAAACTCATTTGTCTGTTCACTCTAGTAGGTACCATCACCCAGCTGCTAATCAATTTGCGTGCAGGTTGTTTACCTGCCTCTGGAAGTTCACAAGGTACTTTCATTACCTCCTTGCTGGGAATTTTCATGAAGCTTTTAAGATAGTTACTAATCTACTGTTGCATTTGGCTATTAATTAACATCAGTAGCCTGGGAGAAGTAGAGCTAGTAGGCACATGACAAAACAAGATATTCCCCATGCTTATCTCACCTGAAATCTTATCTGATTTTAGCAAAATAAAATCTATAAATCTGTCAGGCGCATTACAACAGTAACTGAAATCTGGACAACCTGATATTTCTGTATCAAATTCATGAGAGAGGGGAGAAACAATTCTACCTTCTTACACACCAGACAAAACACACAGGAATTCAGCATGTGAACTGTTTTGACTCATTCAAATAAGTAAATGAAGACTTACCTGTTGGTGCATATAGTACTGTTATACATTAATCTGAAATGTTTTTTAGTCATGGTTAGAACTGTTCCTTTAAGACGTACATCATGTCATTACAAAGAATGTCTGGAGCCAGTAAAATTCTTTTCTAAGTTATTATTGAGCTGTCCCTTTCAGAGAAAGCATTAGCTGCATTTCATATCTGCTTATCCTAGCGGAAGAAGTGAAAACCAATGTACAGTATTGGAGGAAAAAAGTATTCTTTGCTGCATTCCTATGCTCGAGAGAGTATACTTTAAAGAAAGATAACAAACAAGAATTTGCTTCCTTCTGATTTCCCTCTGATTTGAAGGATATTGCTCAAAAAGGTGTGTAATAATTCACAGTGTTTTCTTAATAATCTCCAAGGACAATATTAATGCCTTCATAACCTATTTCACAATCTCACATATCAGATTGCGGGTTTCTTTTTCCTCCATTGTTCAGCATGGGTTTTTACACTGAATTTCAAAACAAAGGTAACTGCTGAGCAGAGATGGAATAGCTCCAATTCTGAGCAAAACAAAACCAAGTACAGACATTTTCTTCTGGATACAGGTGTGATCCCTGCTCAGATTTTAGAAATTATTTCTGTGTAACTTCAATCAAATAGAGATATGATTAATAATAAAGGTTCTGAAATTACATTAACATGAACTAAGTAGGAGCAGTGCCAAGATTTTTCTTTAAATCTGAAACTGTTGTGTTAAAATAAGGGGAAATGGTTTCAAGCACAACAGGGTAGACTTGGAGCGGGTATAAGGAAAAAATCTTCTACAGCAAGGGTGAGGAAGCACTGGCACATGTTGTCCAGAGGTGTGGTGGATGTCCTGTTCCTGGAGACTTGAAAGGCAAGGCTTGATTAGGCTCCAGGCAAACTGATCTATTGTGGTATCCATGTTCACCGTGGGGGAGTTGGAGTAGATGACCTTTAAAGATCCCTCTCAGCTCCAAGGGTTCTATGATTCTGTGTTCCTACGAAACAAAACCTCTTCTGTTCTCTGCTCTCCAGGTTAGTTTCTTGACAGCTGTAATTCTAAGCAAGAGCTCTGGAGAAAAACACAAGAGGAATTGGAGAAAACTGATGAAACTGTCAGTATATTGTAGTCCCAAAAGAAATCCTGATGTTTTTACAGAATATCAGAGTAGACCAAGATATCATGTGAACACCCAGATCACAAGTATCAAATGCATGAGATTGAAAAGAAAAAAGTTAAATTAGCTAAATTTCCAGGGCAGATTTTTCTTACAGAATTATTTTTGCTTTTGTATTTGAAACTTATGCATTTGGCAAGAATAACCACCACCTGTCCTCAATTATTTCTCTATGGAAAGAAATAATAAAATTTCCATAGGATAAAAGATCAGCCAGCTATCATAAACTTATTCAGAAGTGTCTAAATTCACCTCACACAAACATTTTCAGCCAGTGAGATATGTCAGGTAAAATAGTCAAAAAACAATCTGTTTTAGTTCTGAACGGTCCTCTCAAGGCATATTAATTGAATATATTTAGCCTTTGTTTTGTAATTTTTGTTCTTTCTGAAGAAAACTTCCCCTTGAAGAAGAACATGGATAAGGAAGGTATGGGGAACACTTTGTGGACTTCCAGAGAGCTCATTACCTACTATAGTTAACTGGAAAAAAAAAAAAACATTAGAAAGCAAAGTCACTTGCAGGAGCATTTCAGTATTAATGTGACACACTGCTTGTGTCCTCTCACACACCGCTTTTTCCAAGAGCCTGATCTAAGTTTTTCCCTCCATATGTTATCAGCCACTCTTTTTCTGCCTTAATTTGAATTACAATTCAGATAAAATTCTATGAGCAGCATAAATCTTAAAACCAATATACATATGGATATCCTACACAGTCTTTTCAATCAATTTTCTTGTAATGTGGTTCAACTGACAGTTTATCTTTTATTTGATGTTTTTGCTATCTGTCTCCTCAGGCTTTTGAGTTCGTTACGCTTACAGTGGCTAAAAGGTATTTTCAGTGATAATGTTTGTTTAGAGCTGGCCCAGGGCTCAGATAGTAGAAAGAGGGGAGGTGGGAGAACTAGAAAAAGGTCATAAGACTAAGATACTTTAGATGACAAGCCTATAATATTATTTAACTAAAACTGTAAACACACATTAACTCAATTCCTATTACAGGACAAGCATATAACAGAAATACTATTCTTCTTGTAACTGTCTTAAAATTAAGTTAGTAATGGAATACACTCTCCAGAAATAGTTATAACTTCCTGTGGGATGAATCCTGACCCCATCAGGATAAAGTAAACCAATCACGGACAAGTTTGTCAGGGAATGAGTAGTGAAAATCCTCCTTTGATCCAACTTAGATACATGGCTTTATGGCTAGCTACTTGTTGACAGAGTCTTTAGCTGAGGTTCGCCCCTTCTTTAAGAATGGAGATGATAAATGTCACTTAAGCTTGCTTTTCTTAACTTTTCCCATCTTCACCTCTGTTAACACTGGTAAACTTCTCAAATACTTTGAGGGTTTTTGTGAAGTCTGTATATGCAGACATTTCTCTACAGACTTGAAGGCATATAGAATTCAGTTATCTTCTAATTTCTAGTGCAATCATATAAAATATGTACAGTAAGTTTTTGCAGTGATATTACTATCAATTCACAATGCAAGGTAAATACCTAATTGAGACTGACATTGTTATTTCTAAGGGGGAAAATCAAATCCATTCTTCCTTGTCAAATAAGTAACTTGAAAATGTAAATTATTAGAGTATATAGGTACCACAATTAATTGTATGAACTAAACTTTTTGCTTCAAGCTGTGACAGCAATTTGTGACTGAAGAATTCAGTGTATGTCATGGGTCAGGTTTTTATTCTTTGGTAAAAGTGAAGAAACTTATACAAAGTCTCATTTTACATGTCTTTATTCAGAAAGGGCAAGATAATTTGGGGAAAAAACAACCAGAAGCTTGGAATCATTTTGAGGTTTTTTCAAAATGCATGATGGTACTCATCTTTAAGAAATGAAAATATTACAGGACTTGTATTTTTTAAATATTGGTTCCCTTCCTTGTTTTTGAAGGCATCAAAGGAATTTGCTAGAAAAGTTTAAAGACAAATTAACAATAAATAGTTTTTCCCTTGGACAATATGGATAACCATCCACCATTCAACTACAGAGTGTCTCACTGATGCCAGAAGTGAACTGTCTTTCTCCTTCAGGAATACAGCGCACCTATAATGGGCAAGTAGGCATCACAAGGGATATCTGCATTAAAACTGATTTCTTGATCAAAATGCATTAAAAGAATGATTCATCAGTAATTCAGAATGAGACAAATACTGCAGATTCAAGGAAGCTGAAGTAGAATATTTCTGTCCTAAAGGTTGACAGAACTTGCTGTTTGACTGTAGGATGACATATGAAAACTCAATATAAACATCTAAAGACTAGAACAAGTTGTAAACTTAAGTTTTGACTTATTTTTATACTTCTTTAGTAGAAGCATTTTGCTTTAGACCTAAAATAGTACCTACGAGATTTCTTTTTTTCCCCTAACTGCAGTTCAGTTAGCAGCTATAAATACAAACTTGAATAGAAGCAAGCACTTCTGGGAAGGCAGCAAACAGGAGAAATATACAGCACAGCGTTTTTCCACAATGCAACATGAAATTAAATGCTTTTCACACACTGAAAATACATCCAATTCACAAAGCACTAACTACTATGCCCTCTGCTCCACAATTTTTCATTTAACTATGCAGCTCCTACATGCTACATCTGTTTTGTCTCTGAAAATGAGAAATTCCTCTTCTTTCTTAAAAAAACAGTACCATCTGTTTCTCCAGAGTTAAAGTACAGATTTTCAACATTATCTCAGTGAGAGACCAGAGAATTCCTCCTAGACAGGGGAAAGCAATAACCTAAATTGGTCATTAGAACATTCCTTGTGCTTCCATACAGTTTTTATATTTATACAATTTTAAAGCAAAACATGAAATAGCTGCATAACTGCAGATTGGGTTATAATTTCTTTGAATAGTTTACTGCAAGGCTTCATTACAAATACATTAGACAAGCACTGTCCTTTTTCACTCTAATTTGCTTTTTTGACAGTCATAGGTCTTTGCAAGGTATCCAAGTAATGCAAAGGAGTTGAACTTAATTTTTTTTTAAATAGCTTAAGAAAATGCAAGTAATTACCTTATTCTACAGCCTTCATTTTCTGTGACATTCAGAGTTGCAACTCAGTAGTCTAACTATCTTCATCTTCAAACCTGCCTCAGGGCATCTCCCCACCATTCTTATATATCTGCCACATATAGCTGAAAGCAAACAAAATAATGCCATCCAGCACAACAGTCTGAAAATAACTTCTGGAGATGTTATTATCTTACGGGGGGAATGAAGGGAGTGGAATTGGGGAGATGAGTGTTTTTGCTACAATCAGTGCTGTTGAAGTTTACAAGCACATTATACCTTCTTCCTGATATTGGCTTTGAAAAGCAAGTATGTGAGGTGTCATTTAGTAATGAAATAGCTATGAAATCTTAATGTGTGTATTGTGGTACCTGACCTAATTAAAAATGGGATAATAGAACCCAGGCAAGAGTATGCCTGATAGCAAGTATTCAATTCCTAAGCTCTTAATGCCATCAATCCGCAGGGCACTAGTGAGATGCTAAAGGCTTCCAGCAGAAAATATTGGACTTTCAGAACAAATCACTCTGCAAGATTTTACACCAGCAAAGCAAACAATTAGTTTATGGAACAAGATATGTAATTTATCATTGTCATAGAACCTTCATGTTCTGTTTTAAAATGCCTCAGTATCCATTCAGTCTTCACTTTTCTGAATATAGAACATATTATGGCCATGAAGTATCAAAATTAAAACAATTCTACTAGACCCAGTTTGCCAAGACAAAGCCAGAATTCAACCAAACAAAAAAAGCTTAAAAAAAGAATATCTGGATCAATATTTTGACCAACATTTTGAAAACAAACAACATAACTCCCTTCATGACCAATTAAATGCATCTTTAACACAATGCTTAAATTTTACAGACCAAAACACCATGCTACGGTCTGTTTGCACACAAAAGGTCATTTCCACGCTGCATTTGTCTATGAATGGGTATAACATGCTTTAAGCTTCAGGAAACTGAAGAGCAAAAGTAGTCTGATTTCTAATATGATACTCAAAGGCACCACCAAATACAGTATTTCCAGGCCAAATATTCCATAGTTATTTTTCTACTATTGACTAACGTTTAAAGATATGCAAAGTTTCTAGAACATTATACCTTTTTCAAAGAAGTTTTCTTGATTAAGTAGCTGTGGAAACAAAAATTGCGTATTAAAGATGCTTGCTGAAACATTTAAGTAGCTTTTCTCCCTGAAAGGCTATTAGGTAAGGATTACATTTACCAAGTTTATCTTTCTTTATTATAGCCTATCCTTCAATGATTTTTAGCATATATCAAACAAGGCTATTTTTATTTTAACTCCATACATAGCAAAAAAACCTTCCATATCTTTTGACAGAAATATAAGTTGTGCTGTCACTGTCTATGCCTCCTACTATACAAGGAAAGAAGGTTTTGAAGGTTTTACCAAATTTATACTGCTTTCCATAGCTGTAAAAAGATCTTATTGATTGGTTCAACTTTTTCTTTCTGCTTTAGTCTAACGAATTTAATGTGATTTTTTTCTAATAATGAAAAAGTAGGAAAAAGCAAAACTTAAACATATACAGTCCTCTAATAATAGACTGTTTAAGTAACCCATCATTCTAATAGGAAACACAAAGATATCTCATCAGGACATAAGATTTCTTCCTCATTCTAATGGACTTAAAGTCATTTAAAGTGCAGTTTGTAATTTCAGTATGATAGAAATTGAGAAGTTTTGTGGCTATATAAGACCTATGCAAGAACACTGTTACTTCATACAAAACCTATTTAATAACTTACCCATCTCAAACCAGAGACTTGTTTGCAGCATTTAAATAGAGAAAAGTCTGTGTGAAGAAAAGATGCTTTAAACAATTTCAGTCATTTTTAATATGCTACGGAACAACTATTGTCTGCTCTTGAGGGAAGATAAAGTTCCACTTAGAAAACTCATATAGATTATTATGTCTGGAATAGTAAACACAGAGTTGCTGTTTTTAGAACTCCTCACAGTCATTACACCTACTGAACACAATGAAAACCTGATGAAATAGGTACTCAAATACGCAATACAAGTTATGATAAAAGATCTTTAGTTCTTGACTGTTTTTTTACATACATACTTACATAAAGTTCCAAACACATCACTGAGCTTTCCTATATCTCTTTCAACAGGAGTTAAAGTTTTAAATTGGCTTTGACCTTGTATAATCAATGAATATAAATAACTTATAACTAGGAAATAAACAAGAGACTTTGGCTAAGTAAGTTACAATAACAAAAAGAGAACAGATAGAATGCTTACCCACATCCTGGGCTCGCTGCAAAATTCCAAAGGAGGAATCTCCAAAAGAGATCCTTCCCCCCTGGTAGTCAGCTCTTAAATGGGTCTAGGAGAGATGGAGGCAGGCTTCATCCCTTCTGGCAGCACAGGTGAATTGCCTTCACTTGTGCTCCTGTGGCTGACTCATTGCTCACCTCAGGTGAATCAATCTGAGGCTCAGGCTGATTCAGCAGTTCCCATACAGACCTCCATAATTATTCATATTTACTTTATAAACATACTAATAATATTTAATATCTTAAGTCTCTCATCCAACAAAAGAAATGACATTCAGTACATTCAGCTAATGCAACAAAAATGATACCGTATTTATTTCAACACAATAAACCCCTAGGATTTGATTTTACAGTGAATCATAAAGACTTATACTGAATTACTCTGTGTAGGTTCTCTCAACAAAAATTGTAAAAAGTGTCTTCACCTTTATAATGCAGCAGAAAGCACAGCAACAACAGCAAAACGACAATAACCTAGACTTAAAAAACTAAGGATAAGCTCAAACATAGCAACCAAGGATTCAAACAAAGAAAAGAATCCACTTACCCCTAGAAGACCTCAAGAACAAAGGGACCTCCAACAAAATACTACTGATACCACTGCCAATCCTTAAATAAGGTCTGGGAAGGGGTGGATCCTGGCTCCATCCCTTCTGGTCACTCAGTGCATTGCATGCACCTGAGCTCCCCTGGATTGGCCCTGCCTTCCCACCAGGTGGTCAATCACTGCTTCAAGCTGTGATTTAGCATTTGCACCACTGCTTCATGCTGTAGATGTTATTTCCAATTTGATTGGACTCTCACAGATAAATGAGAAGTATAGGTCTGGTTTAGTATACCATAATACAGTGATATTATTATATCACGGTTAACCTTGTTGTGTCATGATAGTAGCAGAATTTCTATGCTGCTATGAAAAAGAAAGTTAACTATAAAGATATCAGAGTGAGAACAACTTTTCTTCCTGAGAACGTTGTTTTCTGTGTTTGGGGTTTTTTTTTGTTTGTTTGTTTTCTGTTTGTTTGTTTTCTGTTTGTTTGTTTGTTTTTTAAGCAAGACTGATCAGATTCCTTTTTATTTGATGAGAGACTATTCTATTCCAAGCAGATTAAACAAGTAACAAGGGCGTTGCTTATTGGCATTCAGAACAAGTCTCTTAAATGTCATTGAAGAGGTTGTACAAGACCTGTTGAGTCACAGCCTGAACCAGTAATTGTTCACTTGAGGAAAGGACCCGGCAATTCACCTGTGCAATCGGAAGGGGGCAGAGCCTGGCTCCACCTCTCTTAGACTCCATTTAAAGGTTGACTGGCAGTGGAGTATGCTTTTTTTTTTTTTCTTCCTGGAGTTTTTTCCTTTCTGGAATTTTTCTTTGTGAGTTAGGATCTTCAGAGATGGGTAAGCAGTCTTCTTTTCCTTTCCTTGTAGTATTCTTCTATTGTATTCTTTTTTTTCCTTCTTTTTATTTTTTGTATCACTTTCCCATTGTGTTTCTTTTTCTGTAATAGCTGTAATAATTTGGTAGATAGACAGAAATAAAGATTGATGAGAAAGTCTTGTCACTGCAGTTTTCAGCACTTCCTGTGATCTACCACTAACAGCAAACAGTACAAATTAAAATAAATTTTGATTAAATGTTCTATTTTCAAACACACATAAGATAATAATTTGTAGTACTCTATTATACTTGCCTTTACAAATGTACAAATTTCTGGTCTTGTTTTTCCTACTTTCAGTTTAGGAAATGCTTTAAAGTAGTATATATGTGCTGTATATTATTAATAATCTGTCTGTGCTGTATGCCTTGTTTTAGAACTACTGCAAGGCCATATATTTTTCTTTCCTTTTATTCTGTTTTATTAGGAAGCTCGTAGAAATGGCTATGTTGTACATGAATATGTTCCTATTAGTCATAGAATATCTAAAAATATCTGTGACAACTCATGCATAATAACAATAATCAATGTTTTCCTTAGGGAAGACATTCAGCTGTGTTGAAACATCCCAGTTAGTCAATTATTCTCTATCTCAAGGAATCATATCGCTTTCAGATAACTCACTTTTAGGGCCCGGAATGCAACAGTAGACCTTAATTGCTCCGATCAGCTTATCCTGGTCTCTTCTGTCACAAATCCTTTGCTAAAATCTGTTTAAGATTAATCTTCAAACTCTAGGTGACTTTATGTTGTGTTATGCTTGAACTTCATAGTTTGTCAGAATATCTGTGTTGACATTTTGGATTTTTCTTATAATTACCTACTAGGTATGTTCCTGGAAATAAGCTGTGTTGGTTGCTTTTAGTTGTTTTGCTTAAGAGGTAATCTTTTATTTTCTGGTTTGACTTCTTCTAACTATCTTTCTTTTTTATGACTTCTTTTTTCTTTGCCCCCATTTTTGTTTTTAAAATCTTTTCTCCTCTGTAGGACTGTATCCATCTGGTTGAAGACACTGCTGCTGCCATCTAGGTTGCGGTTAGTCTTGTGTTCTAGCTATTTTTCTCTGGATAAGACTAGTTCTTGTTTCTTCCTGGCACTGGTTTTCCTATATGTTTTCTGAATTTGTGTACAGAAATAGATGTCTTCAAATTTAAATTAGTACACTTAAACAAACAAACAAACAAAAAAAAAAAACAAAAAGAAAAACTGAGAAACATTCCTTTCATTGATGTATCAGCTCTCTTTCTCTTGGTGTCATCATCAGTGAAGACCGGAGATCCTCAAAAGTTGTTAAGAAGAGATACTTTTTATAAGCCTGGTTTTTTTTAGGATGCCAATCAGACTGTATTTTTTCCACCTGTTTGGTTAGCTTTGTTGGAAGCCTGGCGATTTATGTGCTATGCATATGCTCATTAAAAAGAGCTCCTTGAAGTAATAGTAACAATTTTCTTCATTTAATTTAATGGAAATTTTTTAACAAGTTCTAGAAATTGGACGATAAATTAATAATGTGAGCGACTGAAGTAATGCTGTGTAAAAATATAGGAAAGATGGGTGAAGTTCAGGTGAAGTTTGGTCTTTGCAGGTACAGTGGCTGTGTTTCTTTGCCTGTCAAGTTGGTAAATTAATATATGTAATTTTTATAGTAAACAGGAAATCTAGACATCCAGATTAGAAATACTACTGATTCCTTCTGTTTTTGATGAAGAAGAAAGATAAATGGTTAAAGACTTAAACAGGGAAGTCTAATTTAATTTGTCTTATCTAATAGCTTCCCCAGAGGTGAAGCAGTAGTAATAAGCATCTCTCAGGGAGATCAAGGGAAAAATAAGACTGTAATACCGTTCATTTTATTACTGGATTTACTGCAAATGATTATATGAAGGCTGCGCTAAAAGTAAGGCCTCATATTTTACTCTGTTGGTCCACAACAGGCAGATGTTGGTAGTACAGCAGTAGAGTTAGAATCTTCCCACCAATGTGCCATTATATTTTGTTGTGTGACAGATGGCAGTTGGGGAGCAGTCTGACAAAATGGTGTCTTACATGGAAGTGTGTATTGCAGATAACAATTGCAAGGGCTGGAAGCAATCTCCAGGGATTGAGTTCAACCCCACTGCTAAAGCAAGTTCCCTACAATAGGTTGCAGAGATAGGCATCCAGATGGGTCTTGAATATCTCTGTAGAAGAAGACTCGAGCATCTATGAGGGCAGCCTGCTTCAGTGTTCCATCACCCTTACAAGAAGTTATTCTGCATGTTTGTATGGAACTTCCTTTGTTCAAGTTTTATACCATTATTCCTATCACTGTACACCACTGAGAAGAGCCTGGCCTCATCTGTTTGCCTCTCATTTCCCTTTACATATTTCTAAACATGAGTCTGATCCCCACTTTGTCTTTTTTGTCTGAACAGACCCGGGTTACTCAGCCTTTTCTCATATGCGAGATGCTCTGGGCCTTCTGTAATTTTTGTGGCCCTCTGCTAGATTCCTTTTGGGAGGTCTGTCTTCTTTAACTGTAGAGCCTGAGACTGGACTCAGTATTGTAAATGTAGCCTGGCCAGGACAAAGTAGAAGAGAGGATTGCCTCTCCTGCTCTGCTGGCCATGCTCTTTTTAATGCATCCCAAGATATCATTGGCCTTTTTTGGGGACAGTGGCATAACACTGGCTCGTGGCTAACCTGTTGTCCCCCAGAGCACCCATGTCCTTCTCCACAGATCTCTACAGGTCATCCCTAACCTATACTGTGGTTATACCTGCCCAGCTGTGTAACTCACCTTGAATCCAAGAGGTACAGTAAAGTTCCTCCATGCAGAAAAAGGTGTCCACTGACATTTTTCATCACTTGCTGGATGTTAATGAAGGCCCAGCAATGTGTGTTGTTACAGTGAGGTGGTGGGTGGTTCACTTCAGCTGTTCAAACAGTGACAGTGAGTCAACTCCACTGGTGAAGATTTTTATGAGCGTGGCATGCAGGCTCTTGTTCATCACTAGTGAAAACGCAGAGCTAATGGTGGTGACTTTGTTGAAAAATAGTGTTCTGTAGCTGAGAATTTGCTGTATCAAATAGTTTTATTGAGATTTTTGCGCCTGCTATAGTTGGAAATAAAGAAGAGGCATTACTTTCAGAGCAACTGACACACTTCTCAAGTATTAAAGTTCTGCTATTTAAATATGTTCCCTGCCTATGTTATGCGAAGTTAGATCATGTGAGATCTAGCTAGTTTAGTAGTTCTTTATCTTAGCTCGTCTTTCTTAAACAATGAAGAATCTTATATTCATCATTATCATCTATCAGTCATTAAGCTATGTTAATATGAAAGCTGAAGATAATTGTCTTAGCATGTTTTTTCCCCAGAAAGCCTACATTAAGTGCTACACAGTTAAAAATCAAGTCGTGTGAAGCTATGGGGTGTACCGTATCTTCACTATTACAATAGTGTTAAAGATTAGGCCTGCAACAGCATCAATCTTTTCATGCCTAAAACATTCAGTCTGTTGCTCAATGTTTATCTAGTGTTTTGGAAACTGTGCGCAAACTGCTGAAATTGCTTATTCTTCTAAGATGAATGCAGTTAAGGACCTGGTGTGTAGACAAGTCATGCCTGACTTTTACTTTGTTGATTTTTTTTCTTTAAGGAGATTTAAAACCAACTTGGAATTCCACAGCCTTACTTTATGTAAGCTAGTTGGCACATCTGGATATTGGGATATTGATCTCTGAGGTAAGGCTGCTTAAATTTTGCTGTGTTAACAGTATAGTCTAGAAGACATAAAGTCCTTAAAGCTCTTTAAGTGTGATCATATGCATCACATAATTTCATTTTGTATTTTTTTAGCTTGTACTTTCAGCTTATAGACTTATTACTAGTAGTACAACTTAAGAAGTCAGTAAATTGTCTTTAAAAAGTTTTCTACATTAACCTTCCCACTGAGTTCAGAGTAGCACTTTCTTACTGTTAGATACCGTACAAACTAATCAGAATAGTGTTTTACCAACTTTTTTCTCATTTTCAATGGAAGGTCTTGTCTTATGAATTTGATTTTAGGAAATTGGTTTCTTTCCAGTATTAATGCACTCTGAGTTGCTGCTAATGCTGCTGACCCAAGAGATTTTATAAACTCCTATATTATCTATAATTTTCCTTCCTTTCCAAAAATGTGAGTAATAACTTGTGCTTTGACTGTAAGTTTTACTTGTTTGCAGCTTTAATCTTTCTGATCCAAAAGGATTCTGCTTACTCATGACTTATTTGTTCATGTAATTTTCATAAAGTATCTGTGAAATGCTGAGGCATTAGCTGTGGTGGTGGTAGAGCAGGTGCTCTGAGGATATATGCAGGAAAGTGGTTAGCTGTCCTGTGAGTATTTCTATGAAACAGATGTGAGTGGTTGAATTTCAGAGGACTGCTTAATGATAGGCATTCCAGCTGCTTTTGCTGCTGTTGTTAAATCTGCAGGCTTTATATTGCAGAAGTGGTTGAACTTTCTGAAAAAAGGTTAAAGGAAATATATTTAAAAGTAAATATTTATTTTGTTGTAGTTATGAAAACACTCCAAGATTTGCATTCCCATTGCTTTGCAAACACAGTACGTTCACATCATAAATATTTTTAAACAAAGATGTTGCTCAGCTGACTGTGAATGGCTCTAATGGCTTCTCACACATCAATAGTGAACAGACACAAGCTAATGAAGGTCTAGCATATAAATATTCATTGCATTTTCTCTGAAAATCAAGGAATTCCTTCTGTGGTTTTGTTCAGAGATGGACTTATTTCTGTGACTTGATAGAAGCATAGGATGGGATTTCATGTAACTTGCAGCATCTGAAAGCAGTGTTTGGGAGGAAGCTCATGAATTACTTTGCACAGATTAGGCAGCACAAACAGGAATCTTTAGGTATTGATTGTAAATTACAGGAAACGGACTGGAAAGAAAGCATATTTCTTACTTACTGTGCTCATATCAAATCTGCCTGAAATCTGACTGAGAGGAATCTTTATACTAAACCTCATTGAAATGGCATTTCTTTGTATTTCGTTAGGTATTTTAAAACAACCATTTCTTTCCAAGAGGATTAGAAACAGCATTGCTATCTTATAAAATGAACAAATCTAAAATAAGATGCAGACAGAAAACGAGAAACTTAATGTTGGCTTTTTTCCATTTTCTAAGGATTGGAGTCAAAAATTATCAGAAGAATGTTGAATCTTGCAGAGGAAGCTGCCACCCAAGAATTGCTGGTAAGAATCTGAGGAAGTAATCTTTTCTGAGAAGACAAAGCTTATTTATGAAGCTTTTCCTCTTTCAGACTGAGGATTGTAAGCATAATTAAAATGTCCTTCTCTTTTAAGAACACTCTATTGCCAGTGAAATAGTAATTTCTAAGTTACATTTCTCATGGGACAGGAAGGCTATTTTCTGAGGAATACTGGAATGGAAAACAATGAAGTGAGATACAGTGAGACCAATGGTGTGAGTGTGGATTGGTTATGAAAAGAATGTTTTGAACTTTGTCATTTCAGTATTTCACAGGAGGTCTACCTTGTGATGTTCCTGGGGTTTATTTAGATGTGACAATCACATTGTAACAAGAGCAAAGAAAAAATGTGGGAAATTTCGGAATGCTGGTGATTATAGGGCCCTAATTTTTTTAATTATGTAGTATGAGACTTAGTTCTAAATCATACTTTATTTATCTACAGTATTTAAAGTAAGCACAAATAAAATGGAGTCAGAAGAGTCCTGTGAGTACTATGGCAAACTCTGAAACATTGTTGTAAGCATTCTGGAGCAAACTACTGAAACAGAAATGAATTTTATAGAAAATATTAATTCTGGTGGTTGTTCTGCCATTCTGGTAATGTAGAGAACATTTCCATTCCTCTGTTACATTTGGACCACTGAGAGTATTTTGTGAAAGCAGAAATGGCGGAAAGAGGTAAAAAGTACTTGAAGGATAAGTTAAGAGTCTAAAATAACTTCTGTACACAGACAGTACAAAGGATAATATGAGGAGTATGGGTTTGCATTGCTGTCTCATTCTCTCAAATATAATACTGTATTATCCTATTATGGTTTTCTCAAGTAACTTTCTCTGTCCTTTAATACATGTGATACCAGCCACAAATCTGACTTTTTGAGGGTTAAGGGAAGTGAGGACAATAGAGGCAAATAGCCATGTATACTTATACATATGTGTGGATTTTTCTGATGTTTGATATGGAGATCTCATTAAGATTACTAAAAGAAAAAATCTGCACCTGGAAGCTGAAAAAGGGAAGTCTGCAGAAAAGCTTAAAAGATAGTAACTATTTATCAATATATAAATTTAGGGTATCTATGACAGGGAGTCCAAGATATTCATTTTTCCTATCTTTATAAATTTTATCAAATTACGTTACTGAATCAGTTCTTTCATCTCAACTGATGAAGCAAGTGAAAATTGAGAGCTTCTACATGCTACAGTTGTATAGTGAGGGGCCAGAGTAAGAAGATCTTGACATGAATTTGAAACAAAGGAAGCTGATGGAAGACTCCAGATATAATTGAACTTAATGATACTTAAGAGTTTTATAAAATATCCTAAAAGAAATAATCTACCAGGTCAATCAGTATTATACTGAACAATGAATAAAGCATTATTTTAAGTACTAAAGACAAATAATACTTACGAAGTAGAAACTTGTAGAGATGAGAATGATAACCTTCTAATGCTTCACTTATCAGTGTTGTGAATAAGAACAGCATTTTAACAGAGATTGTTATTTTGTTACTATAAATGCTAGAAAAGCATTATTCTGCATGTTAATTCAGAGTTCTTAAAACTATTAGGGCTTTATAAATGAAAATGAATTTTATAAAGGAATAATTGAGATTGCCATTTTTGACTTAATTTTGATCCTAAAGATAATCAGGACAGAGGACTGCAGCTCTATGCTAATTCTGCTTGGGGTGAATATTTTTAATGCTATGGAAGAAGATTCAAAATAATGCAATTGTGTAGGTAGGTGATCTATTAAAGATTTTACAATTGGTTTTCATGCTAATTCTATGAAATGTAAAGACCTAGCCTATAGTTTTCCACTTCTAACATAGGACTTCCTTCAATTAAGTTTGAAGTGGGGGAGAGATGGTAAGAAATGCGACTTAATGGAGTGCGGAAGGTAGTCGCTCTTTCTAATCAGTAATGTTGACACTGAGTGAAGGACCATAGGACAAGGTGAGTTATAAAGAATGCTAGTTTTGAGACTGCTAGTTCTGTCATTTAGTGGTAAAGTGTTACGTTTCTCACACCGTAGATAGTGAGATATTGACAGGTAGAAGTTCACACTCCCTCTGAGGCTGTATATATTATTTAGCATTTTATGTTCTATGGGAAAATAGAACTTTGAAGTAATAAAAACATCAATGCCCATTGTCCATACAGATAGCCCACAAGCAGCTTCACCAACCATATAATAGTCTGTAGATTGTAGTTATATTTTTTCAAATGAATGACAAAATAGATTACAGGAAGCCTTTGCTATAATATAGAAGTTTCATGTGTTCAAGTGTGCATGGATAATGTTTTTCTCTGAGGAAACAATGAAAAGTCTGGTCAGAGTGCTGGTCTAGAACTTGTAAAATAAAAAATAAAAAATTGATAAGCGTAACAGCAGAGAACTAATCTGTTAGCTAGAGCAGAATTTGACAAAGCAAGGAAGATGTAACAAGGGCAGGAGCTGTGGTCAAACAGTTGTCAGGAGATGCAAGTGTTAAAACATACAAGAAACTGAAGAAGTCAATTTATCGCAGGCATAGGGATCTACAGCAGTTTGTATAACTGGGAGAGGAACATAACAGTTTACTGATTTACAGCACCTTCATCTTATCTGGACACCAGCTTATTCATCCTAAGTACTACATAAACCCTGACTATTGGCATTTTCAAGCAGAAAAAATTTCTGCCCTTGGTCTGGATGTAGAACACACTTTATCTCTGTGGATGGATGTCTGTGAACTACTCATCATCACGTTTCAGACTGCAAAGAAATACAAACTACTCTAGCTCTCTCCAATATGCAAGAGTGTGCAGGTGTGCCCTTCAATATTAGATAACACTGTGGAAGCAAAATAGAGTTAAATGTTGTTTGAATCAAATTTACATACAAAAGAACTGTCTGTTATAACTAGAAAGGAATTGATTAAAGCTCTTTACATAGCGGTATTGATGAAGTCTGAGTAAATCAAGAGGATCAACTCTTTCTCTTGAGTAATCTGGTCTGGTTCAAAAGTGTATCAGTGGTAGCAGAGGGAGTTAGAAGTTCTAATGTGCTGGACATTGGTGGTCTTATGATAAAAATTAGATCCAGAGACCTCTAGTTACAATACTTAAAGATAATAAGTAACAGCTCTCATGCAGCCATCCCCTGAAACTGTCTTCCTATAGATTGTTTCTTCCCTGAAAGTGCTTTACAGAAAGGTGCTATAACAAAAGTAGGTACAGATGCTTTTGTACTAACCACTGCATCTCATTTTAATGCAGTGATGAGCATGAACTTCTGAATTAGGAAAATGTTACTCCTTCATGTTGCTATCTCACTAGCTTGGGGAGAAGGAGATTGTTCAAACAAGTGCCTATTAAAAAGGCACGCTTATTGGTTCATAAGTGAAACAGCACACCTCAGCTACAGAATAGCATTGGGAAAACATGAAATATCAGCTACTGAGAGAGACAAGTAGGAAGCTGGAGACTTGAATGATAACATACTGAAAAAATGATCTGCCTGACTTGTGAAGATCCCTAGCTTTTGAAGAGAAAATGACTTTGCTCTCTACAACCACCTGAAGGGAAGTTGTGGTGAGGTGGGAGTCAGCCTCTTCACTAGTGATGGGACTAGAGGGAGAATGGAGCTCACATTGTGCTAGGGAAAAATCAGGTTGGATATTAGGAAATACTACTTCTGTGAGAGTGATCAGGTGGTGGAATGGGCTGCACAGGGAGGTGGTGGAGTCACTGTCCATGGAGGAGTTCAATAAATGTCTCAGTGTTGTACTGAGGGACATGGCTTAGTGGGATATTTTGCTGATAGGTAGACAAGTGGACTGGATTATCTTAAATGTCTTTTACAACCTTGGTGATTCTATGATTCTATACCAGCCAAACTGGGATAAATAAATTCCTGTTTTCGGATGTTGCTTGTGTTTAGCAGGGCCCAGGATAATTTGGATGTTCACAAGCTGCATTCTACCACAGGTTATCTGGTAGTTCAGGAACAACTTGTTAGTCATTTCTCCTTTTATGTGTATTAAAGCCTGTGAAATGGGTTGTATGAAGTACCTCAAGCTAGCACAGGCATGCACTGTGTTGGGGTCACCCTCCTAAGCTGAGCCTGGAACAGGTGACTCCTGTTAGCTTGTTAGGGATGGAGGCTTTAATGTAGAAGTATCTACAGCTGAGAAAGTGACTGCAAGCAGGTGGCAGAATGGAGGTGGTACTGGCTTGATTTCTAAGATGGAGAAAGAAAGGCAATTCTGAAAAGTGAAGATAAGAAAAATTATTTAGAATTTGAACTTTTACCTATTCTGAACAAAAACTTTGCTTCTAGGAGGTGGACCAAGAAAAAGAAGGAAAGAAAATACAGCTTGGAAGTCTGTAACAGTAGCTTCTGCATGTGGAGCTAGTGGAGTGGCCCAGAGTGCCTGTTAAAGTTGCTGGAGAGGTTTCTTCTGTTTTTGTAATGTGGAGCTTTTAGAAGAAAACTATTTAATACTTAGTTTGTTTCAGCTGAATTCAGGTGGGAGACCTTTAGAGCTGCTGTCTGTGACTCAAAATCTTTTAGTTCAAGTGTACTAGTGAGAGGATGTTACATATACTGTTAACTACTATAAATTGTGCAATGAAGATCTAATGCATTAAAGAAACTAAAAACTTTCTAAAGTTAAAGTATGCTTTGAAAGAAAGCTGCTAATAAGATGTCTGATAACTTAATCATGGGATTTAATTTACATCCAAGTGCTTCAAACTTACTCCAGTAATCAGTTTTGAAGAAATATGCCCTTGGAGAAGTGTAAATTGGGGAATGTCTTAATCTTTCAGCCAGGTGAGTAAAGCAGATGTGCAAAAATATTCTTTTGAACTTTGCAAGTAATTATTATGCTGAAAGATAGGTAAGATACCCGAGGATATAGGCTCCTGCTGGTTCAAAGTGTGTTAAGTGAAAACCCAATGGAGAATTGAGCTTTAAAGCGGTATATATAA